CATTTTCACTAATGTAATGATTATTTAAACCCAAACATATTCAACTAATTTCCTATTAAAGTTCTTTTGCCCTTAGAAATAATTATGCCATAAACATTTGTGCACACTCACCTCTTTCTAATCATGTTAAGGCTGTATATTCCTCCAGTACAATGATTAGGTATCAGAGTGTAAGAAAATGACAGTTTTCCCAAGAAATTGTAGCTCCAATTCATACCTTTGATGGCAGCAATATAAGGACTCACTGATATAAAGCGTCAACAAAACTTTGGAAAGTCAAACTTTCTTACTTTCTTTTTTTTGCCACTATGGGAGGTAATAAATTATATTTCATTTTTATTTTAATTTTAATCTCATTGATTGGTAATAATGTTGATATTGATGTGTGTATATGTATACACACACATATATATTTTTAATTTAACATCCTCTTTAATGAAATGTATCCTCTTTTTTGTTTTTTCTTCCTAAATATATTATTCACTATCTTTTGATTTTAAGAATTATTAACACACTCTAGATAATTACTCCTTTGTCAGTTATGTTTATCCAAAGCATTTTCTTCATTTGTGTCTTACACATTTACTTTTTATTTTTTAAAGTTTTAATGTAGTCACATTTAGCAATTTTTTATTTTATAATTTGTGACTTTTGTCTTTAAGAAATGTATATAATCCAAAGTCAAAACATATTATTTTCTTTAATTTTAGAGCTTCAGTATTTTTATTTCGTTCTCTTCCCATATATAAATGTACACACGTGTGTGTGTGTGTGTGTGTGTGTGTGTGCATGGTTCTTGTTCTATTTTCAAGATGTAAAGAGGTAGGAATCCAAATTGCATTTTTGTTTCTATGCATAATAAATTAAACCAAACCATTTAGTCTGTCCTTTCTTATTTATTTATTCTAATTTATTATACATGACAGCAGAATGCATTTCAATTCATAGTTCACATACAGAGTGTAATTTTTCATTTCTCTGGTTGTACATAAAGTAGAGTCACACTATTCGTGTCTTCTTACATGTACTTAGGGTAATGATGTACATCTCATTCCATCATCTTTCCTACTTACTAATTAACTATCACTCTCCATATTTCCAGTTTCCGGATATCATGCTTCTGGGTCCTATATTTTTAAAAAAATTTTCTTTAATTTTTAGTGCACTAGAATTATAATTATACATAATAATGGGGTTTATTTTGACATATTCATAAGTGCATATAACATGGCTTTTTCCATTTCAATTGTTCTTCCTATGCTAATCTTACTTCTATTTATTTATTTTTTTAAAATCAATGCATTGTGGTATATTCATACATGCACCTTGTATAATTTGGTTAATTAAATAAATTTGCTATCCCTACACATGTACTTTGTAATAAAAAGTTTTTAAAAAACAAAATTCTTTCAATAAAACAAAAAATCTTGTTTTTCTTCAGAAGTTTTTGACTATTCTTGATAATTTGTTCTTCCTTATGAAGTTTAACCTAGTTTATATCAGCTCAATTTACAAAATCTAAGCTATGGAACCAACCTAGGTGCCCTTCAACAGATGACTGGATAAAGAAAAAGTGGTATATATGTATAATGAGATATTACTCAGCCATAAAGAAGAATGACTTTATGATATTTGCTGGTAAATGAAAAGATGTGGAGACTATCATGCTAAGTGAAATAAGCCAATCCCAAAAAACCAAAGGTTGATGTTCTTTCTGATAAGTGGATACTAACACACAACAAGTGTGAGGGTGTGGAGAGTAGAAATATAGTGAATTAGACAAAGGGAAATAAAGGTTTAAGGGAGAAGGAATAAGAAAGACAATGGAATGAATCTAACATAACTTTCCCATGTGCATATATGAATACATTGCAGTGAATCTCAACATTGTGTACATTTACAAGAATGGGATCCTAATTAGAATACTCCATGTTTAGATAAATATGTCAAAATAGACTCCACTGTCATGTCTAACTAAAAGAACAAATAAAAATAAGATAAAATAAATCTAATTGCTTATTAAGTGGTGCAGTGAAGCATTTAAATAATTATATCAAGCAGTCTAACAGCAAAAAAAAAAAAAAAAAAAAAAAATCCTCTCCTTTTGAAAGGATACTTTCCATAGCATGGTATTAATGAATAGAACCAATGAAGAAATTTTTACAGTACTGATTTTTTAAAAAATTTTTGTAGTTGCAGATGAACACAATACCTTTGTTTTATTTATTTATTATTTTATGTGGGGCTGAGGATTGAACCCAGTGCTTCACACATGCTAGGCAAGCGCTCTGCCACTGAGCCACAGCCCCTCTAGTACTAATTTTTAAGAAAATCTTTCCAGCATTTTACCCTTGAGTTTCTTCAGAGTTCTTTGTCATATTAAAGCTATTCCTAGTTTTTTCTTTTTTGTTCAGCATTTTTATTGCTCATTAATGGAAGTTACATTGTACTCAGAGAGTTTTTCTTTTACGATAATCGTATAATATTTTTCTCTTTAAGATTTTGAATGTGAGAATAAAAACAATTATGATTCCTCATGGTTAACTATCTTTACATTTCTAGGGTTAAATCTTCTTTCTCTTCATTTATTATAAATATTGGATAGCTTAATTTGTTTAGTAATTTGTTAAGGAACTTTGCATCTATGTTCCTTAGCAAGATTGACCTCTAAATTTCCTTTCTTTGATTTTTCCTTCTTCTAAGCTCTTTTCCCAACATTTTATGACAAAAATTCAGACAAGCCTAAAGAGTATAATAAAATGAATTCTATGTACATGTTACCAAGCAATAAGAGTGGCCACCTCAAGGTTTCCTAGTCTATTTATGTTGCTCTTTCTTTGCCACTAGCACACAGTGGTATATTGAAGCAAACTCTGAGTAATATATTCCATTTTCTTGCATTATATTATGTATCTCTGAATGATAAGGACACTTTAAAGTTATATAATCTTAATATAATTTTAACACCTAAGAATATAACCCCTTAAATTTATCAAATGCTTAATTTTACCCAATCATCTCATTATTTTCCATTTGGTTTGTTCAAACCAGAATCTAAATATATTGATTTAGCATATATTTCTCCCATATGCTTAGTATTGCATTAATTCTTGAATCTATTTGTTGGAACTCTGGAGTCATTTTTACTGTGGGGGTTTCCACCTTCTGAACTTGTCACATTATATGTGTTGTAACATAAAATCTGTTTCCATCTTCTGTATTTCCTTGAAGCAGGTAGCTAGATGTTAGTCAGGGATTCTTAAATGTCTTTCGTATCGGGACACATTTATACGTGTAAAATTTATTGAGGATCCTGAAAACTTATCACTCATCTGAGTCATTGATAGTACTAGATGTTACAACAGGAATTTTAAAAAATGTTTACCAACTCCTTTTGATAACTTTTGAAGACACTTCAACACAATACACATATGTAAATAGCCAGTTTATCTGTCAGTTTGTTTTTCATGTAAAGAAGACATTAGATGAAAACAATGAATAATACTTCATTGTAACAATGCTTTTCCTCAATATAATCACTGAACTTCAGTATGCAGATTACCATTTGGTTACACAGAATAGTAAAGATGTGTGTTCAAGGACTGAACTTCACTAATATTAACCATATCCATTGCTTCCTCAAGTTCAAGTGCATGTTTAAGTGAAAGTTTCTTTTCTTAGCTTCTTCCAAGTGCATGGCTATAAGGACACAGGTTAATGACTCTACCTTCATTAAAACTGAAGCACCAGGACATTTAATCACCATTTCTTTGGCTCTGTCATTGAAAATGTCAACACAGTAGAAACAATAAACAGCATCATATTCTAATAATGAAAATGAAGACTACAAAACCCTCTGAAAGAGCTTTGAAAACCCCTGAGCATGTGATCAAAATCTGAGGATGCTACTCCAAGAACAAACTGCCAGCCCACAATTACAGTGAACCAGGAGAGCTTCCCAGTCCTACCACACAGAGGCAGCAGGAAGGAAAGTCCATTCAGCTACTGTTCCTGAGAGCCTTGCTGGACAATTTACCTACAAGATTAACTACAGATTTGCCTCAGTCTGGCTGGGCACAAAATCACGAGCCACTCAAGCAGGAACAAACTTTATTTTTTGAAACTGCCGCCAATGCCCTGTAAGTTCCCGGGAAGATTGCCGATCTATGCACGCGGCCCGTTCTCTCGGATCCCTGTAACCCAAAAGGAAGTTCCTCCTCCGGAATTCCCTCCTACCGCACTTCCCCAACCAATGGGAACTCTCCAGGAGTCCCTTAGAAGGCCGAGGTGGACAGCAGGAGTCCAATATCCATATGAATTCAGATCTTAACATAATCATATCATCTCAATGGCTTGCTGGCATCACCTTACAACCAAAAATGCCATGCATCATATGACTTGGCTGTGGCTCTTAGCACAGATTCTAAGCCATTACTTCTTACCTGGGTTTAAATTCTTTCTTTGCCTTCAGCAACTTCATGCTCACCAATACTTCCAATTGTTAACCCTAACCCACCCAATTCATACTTATTAATCTGTATTATATATTACTAGGCAGGTATAAAGAAATGTGCATATATGCCCACAAGAACTACTTCTTGCTGGTTGATCTAAAAGGTACTGCTGATATTCATTTTCCTTCAATACCCAAGGCCATAACATTTGCAACACTGTAAAACAGCATAATCTGTACCACAGGGTTGCATTCATTCTCTTGAGTTTCTCAGAATGGGATATCTGGGAGAGGGTGGGGAAAGTTCAAACTTCACCTGCCCTGGAGATAGAGCTGGCCTGCTAACTGGAAGCAGGTAACAGCTGTGCTGATTCCCAAGCTTTGCCAGGAAGATTCTCCTCCCCCTGATGGGAATCTCTTGAATCCATGCCAAGCCCTACCATGAGCCCTGCCTGCACACACATTTCACCCCCTCCTTTCAATGCCCCTCCCTCAGATCCTCTTATAAAAGTCCAGCCTTCCCTGCCCTGACAAAGCATTCCAGTTTCCTGCAAGACAGGTAAGTGGGAGCCAAAAGGAACTGAGGCTGAAAGAAGCTGAGGCTGAGCCCTGCAGGGGTTTGACCTCACACATCACTAGAGGGTGGAGGGGGACCCAGTCCTCAGAGAACATAGGAGTTCAGAGACTAAGCAAAGGCTGGCCAGGGAGCTCTCAGGAAGACCAGAGAATACAGATTTCCCAGTTCATGCCAGGTCCATGGAAGGGCATGGATAGCACTCAGATCAACACATCTGGACAGGATAGACCAAAAAAAGGCAAGACACAGTGGGGTCTCTGCATGTCTTCTGCCTGAGCACATTTCCTACAGTGAGCTGATTGTCTCCTCACTCACAGACATGATGCTGACTCCCATGGCCCTGCCCAGCATGTCCTGGATGCTGCTTTCCTGCCTCATGCTCCTGTCTCAGGTGCAAGGTGAGATTTCTCTGCCTCTAGCCCAGGGATTTCTGTGAGCATTGAGATCCAGGAAGAGGAAGGCTCCTTTATGGGGGAAGGTGAGGTGTGCCCACACTCTGGGAAATTGCCTGCTGTCCCTCCATCACCCTCCCTTGCATCAGTTAACAGTGGTGGGAGGCCAGAGTATGCATCCTCAATGGAATGAGGTGGCTCCCTGCTTTGTCAGAAACTTCTAATTTATGTGAGTGGGTTAAAGAGGGAAAGTGGGGAAGGGCCATAATGCAGTGTAAGGAACAATGAAAGATTAGAAAACCCAGTGTGGGAACTGTCAGCTCAGACTGGGAGGAGTCCTGGACTATTGAGTAAGGGGAAAGGGTAAAATGAGAGGTGGTGCTGCCCAACATGGCTGGGCCTTGTGAGAATGCAGATTCCTGAAAGCATGAGCAGAGCTGAGAGGTGGTGAGGATTGTGGTTTCCCTCCCAGAAGGAGACCTCATAGACGTTCCCTACGTTACCCTCCCCACCCCAATCTCCATTCTTCATTTGATCCAATCCCTCTGTATCTCCCTCTACCCAGGTGAAGACACTCAGGAGGAACAGGCCTCTCCACGCATCAGGTGTCCCAAAGGCTCCAAGGCCTATGCCTCCTACTGCTATGCCTTGTTTACCACACCAAAATCCTGGATAGATGCAGATGTGAGTGCTGAATGGGTGACAGGGGAATGGCCACATGTATCCCAGGGGCAGGATCTCCAACTTCCACAGTTCCTGGGACGAGAATGAACACCCTTGCCAATGCTATTTATCCCACCAAACTCTTCCCTGTTTTTCTCTAGCGAGATCTCAGGCTCCCTCTTATTTTCTTGCTTCCCAACCATGCAGTTGGCCTGCCAGAAGCGGTCTGAAGGACACCTTGCATCTGTGCTCAGTGGGGCTGAAGCCTCCTTTGTGTCCTCCTTGGTCAAGAGCAGTGTGAACAGCTACTCATATGTCTGGATTGGGCTCCATGATCCCACGCTTGTGAGTTCAATACTCTTTTGGTTACATCTCAAGTGGCTATTGTCACCCAGGCCTTCTCTCTATGCCTGCCCAGGAGGAACCTGAAGGGACTTAGAGCTCAGATTCTGGGTGATATTTCAAGCAAAGGGAAATCCTTGAGGCCATGTTAAGAACTAAGTTATGTGGGGTTCCCTAGATAATCTGATGCTGTTCATGTGCCCCTTGTCAGCTTTTATACTATGCTCTTGTGAGGCTTTGGAAATTTTCAGGGAGTCTGAGCATACTATTCTAAGGGATCACTACCTGAAGGTAAGAGACATATTTTCTCTTTTAAGAATAGATATTATCTTTGAGTTTCAGAATCTATTCACAAAAATGTCACCAATTGCGTTAAGCTATTTCCTCACTGATTTTGAGTGGTTCCAAAGTTCTTGGGATAATTGTCTAGGATTTCCCTGTAGGAATGAGAAATTTGGTGGGAAACATTCCTTTAGAGCCTTCTGTGTATCCTGTGGAGAAGGCCAAACTCCATGAAGCTGTGAGGGGAATCAGAAGTTCCAGCTAGGGGGTCATGCAAGCAGAGCTCTAATCTCTACCCTTCCCCCCAACACACACACATACCTACCTCGTTCCATCCTGTGCTCTGTAGGGACAAGAACCCAATGGTGCTGGATGGGAGTGGAGTAGCACTGATGTGCTGAATTACGCAAACTGGGAGAGGAATCCTTCCACTGCTTCAGACCGTGGTTATTGTGGGGGCGTGTCACGAAGCTCAGGTAAGCATCAAAGAAGCCTCTTCTGCCCAGTCTTTCCCTATTCTTTCTTCATCCCTGGGCCTGACCTTCAAGGAATCTTTCTGAGATAGGAAATCAAAAGTCAATTTGTCTTCTACCTGAGATGCTGCTTCTTTGGGTCCACAAAAATCCACTGGTCTCAGTCATATTGCATCTTCTGTCTCTCCAGGATTTCTGAGGTGGAGAGACTACAACTGTAATATAGAGTTACCCTATGTCTGCAAGTTCAAGGGCTAGGGAACGTGGGAAGTCATCCAGCTGGATTTGTGCATAGTTCCATCATTCATAAGAGTCCCAGGTGAAGATCCACCCAAGAAAGGATTCTGTGGACACCCTGACACCTGATCACCTCATCCTGAGCTCCCCTCTTCTGTTGTCTCCCTCCCTCATTTCAGGCTGTTGTATATTTGTTGTGGTCTCTGGTTTCAGAGAGCAATAATAAAAATTTTAATTTAAAATTATAACTTTTATGTTCTACTCTTATAGTTTATGTTCTAAATGTGGCAGTTAATGGAGAAAGATAATCATAGTGATTTTTTTTTTTTTTAGAAAAGACTCTATTGTACCTTGTCTACTAGATAAATACTTTTGATCCAAATATAAAATATGTTGTAAGTAAAGGGATGGAGAAAGATATACTCTAAAAAAAAGTGGAGTAAGCCTGTTAACATTAGGCAAATAGATTTCAGGAAAAGGAACATTATCAAAAATCAAGAGAATCCTAACAAAATGGTAAAAAGGTTCAATTTCTTAAGGTTGCATAATGATGTTTCACATGTAAAGCACTTAACTATGGAACTTCAAATGTGTAAATCAATAATGTATAGAACCACAATGAACAATAGAAAAATATAGTATTATACAGAGACTTTTTGAATAATTATGGGGTCCACCCCGATAAATGTACTTTAAATTGATAATACAAGTTAAAGATGTCTTTATTACATCTAACTTAACAAACATCAGTTGTTTGCTCTTATGATCTTGTGGTTGACTGGGAGCTAGAACTCACTGCTGCTGCCCAGGATTGTGAGAGCCGTGTACAATATATCTAGCACTAGCACAGCTATAATGCAAAATAGAAGATAAAGTTTCTAAAGAATGAGCATTACATGTGCACCATTACAATGTCAAAGACATGAGTTGAACTATTGCACTGTGGGGACAATCTGTACTTAAATACTTTAACATCTTTCTGTTTCGTCATTGATGGATCCGGCAGGTACAAAACTGATCTGAATAGCACTATCAATCAACTGAATCTAGTTGACATTTAGAGAGTACTCTGTCCAAAAGTATAATACACATTGTTCTCAAACTCAAATGGAACATTCACCAATATAGGCCATATTCTGAGGCATGAAACATTGGAACAAATTTAAAAGAGAAAAAAAAATCATATAAAGTATTTTGTCAAATCACAATAGAATTAATCTAAAAGTAAATGTATTAGGAGATCCCAAAATATTTAGAGGTTAAGCAACATACTTCTAAATTTCACAAAGAGAAACAAAATCAAAAGAACTTACAAAGTTGGAATAAAATAAAAATAAAATAAAACTTATTAACAGCAGAGTGAAATCAAGGAAATTGAAAAAAGTAATAAAAAAAACTGATTAAGGGATTGAACTCAGGGGCACTTGACCACTGAACCACACTGCCAGCCCTATTTTGTATTTTATTTAGAGACAGGGTCTCACTGAGTTGTTTAGCATCTTGCTTTTGCTAAGGCTGGTTTTGAACTCCGGGTGCTCCTGCCTCAGCCTTCTGAGTCGCTGAGATTACAGGCATGTACCACCATGCCCAACAAAAACTGATTCTTTTAAACTATTGATGGAATTTATGAATCTCTAGTCAGGTTAACCAGGAAAAAAGAAGAGGATGCAAATTATTAATATCAGAAAGGAAAAAGAGATTTCAGTAGAATAAAAAAAAAAATCCTCTCCCAGAAGAAGTCCGTGTCCTACTTCTCAAATTTTGTGAATATTCCATTATCTTATATGGTGAAACAGACTTTGCATATGTGATTAAATTAAGAATTTTAAAATGGGGATCCTGGATAAATTAATGTAAGTACAGGCCCTTATGAGAAGGTGCAAGCACACTCTCTTCTCCTCCTAGATCAACACTATCCCACTGAACCACCAATAATGTAATACCTTCCAGTCAGTCCAGACCTCTTCTTCTCTTGGCACAGTTGATAAAAATGTCCCACTCCCAAGAAATATATAACGTCTTCTTTTTTTTTTTGTCACTAGAAACTACTTTCTCACAATTCTTGGGGAAGAAGACAGTAATGGCCCATTTTGTATAGCAGTCCCTGATGCCTACAATTTGTATGAGACTCTTTGTATTGTATACAATATCTGAATTCTCCATAAGCTCCATTCGCATAGTCTACACTCCCATCCAGGTGCTGACATCACAAAGCTGCCTTGCCTGAGGTGGATATAAGCTTCTTTTAGGCTAGCTTATTTAATGGTATCTGGCTATGACAATGACATGCATGCTAACTCACCTAAGCCAAAGAAGTGTTGGACGAACAGGGCTTATTTCAATTCACCCAAGACTGAGGCACACAGCTGAATCTCATGAGGAACTAGTAAAAGAAAGAACAAAGTCAGGAAGGGACATTACTCTTTCTTTCCTTTTGTATTGTCCCCTTCATCTCAGGAACTGGTTTATATTTTCACTTTCAGCCACTAGATTTACTTGCCTTTGGGGAATACACACAGTGATCCAACATAGCTAGTCATTTTTCCAGCTTTTCACTCCAGGAATTCAAAACCTACACTATATGCTTAGTGAACAAATTCTGTTTCAAAAGAATATCCTGCTAATCCAGCTACAGATGGGTGTTCAGCTCAATTCAATCCACTGGGGCTGGAAATTTTAGTCACATGGTATTAGTATAGATGTTATCTCTACCTCTTAAATAGGATCTGTGTGAGATCTGGTTCTTAAAAGTAGGGGAACAAGAAGGACCCTCAAGAGATGTTTTCTGCAGAGAAAAAGACGATTTCCTGGGTCTGCCTCTCATGCTGACCTTACCTTTTTTTCTGTCCTAGATTTCCTTCTGTGGATACTGACATATTGTTTCAGGTATTCTATTTGCTCCTGATGAATGTCCTCCACATTTCTAGGAGTTATCCGGCTGGAGGCTGTGCTTCTGTCCTTGTCATATTTACCCATCCCATGTCCATCTTTAGAATCATGTATTTAATCTGCTATGATTTAGATTTCTGCCAGTTGTGGTCTGTGAGTCAATGAATTGGATATAACCTCTTCCCAACTTAGGTCAGCAGATCTGAGGATCCTGGGCCTCTGGTAGTTCCCTCTATCACTGACTTTCCTCTTCATTTGGAATACATGAAACAAACCACCTGATAGCAGTCACAAGCCCCAGAATCATCTGGTTCGGTTAGTTGAAACAAAGGATCCAATTCCCCAATATTTCTGAATGTAAGTTTATAATGCACCCTTTGAACTTTTAACAGCTCTTGCTTCTTTATCTTTCATATCCTACCATCCAACCACATTTGTCCATTCTTCCTAAGTAGTTTTTTTTATTTTTTATTTTTGTAGTTGAAGATGAACAGTGTGCCTTTATTTTATTTGTTTACTTTTATGTGGTGCTGAGGATCGAACCCAGGGTCTTACACATGCTAGGCAAGTGCTCTGCCACTGAGCTACAGCCCCAGTCCCTCTTCCTAAGTAGTTTTTAAAGCACACCTCTAAGAAGCTATTGTCCATCAACTGCATAAATTTGTGTCATAATCTATCTTGCATTTAGATTTATTTGTTAATTCCCTTCTCATATCTCAAGAATCCCCTATAATTTCATTTCTTGGAATAATCTTTCTTTCTTTTCTTTCTTCTTGTTTTTTAATTTTGTTTTTTAGTACTAGGGATTGAATTCACCAGCACTGAGCTATATCCCCAGCCCTTCTGATTTTTTTGTTTTTGAGACACAGTCTAAGTCGCTAAGATTGACCTTAAACTTTCAATCCTCTTGTCTCAGCCTTCTGAGTAATTGGGAATACAGGCATGTACCACTGTCCCAGACAGAATAATAATTTCTTCAAGTACTCATAGGTTTGTTTATTTTGCTGCATATGCATGTTTTGGAAATGGTCCATCTCTGGTTAAAATTGGGACACACTAAGTTATGAAAAGTGATTCTTTCTCACAAGCCTTTACCAAGTCATTATATGCAAATGTGTTATGAAAATAAAAGAAAGTCACAGGGCTTTGCAGATCATCAGGCATTTGGTCACAAGTGGATTTTTTGTGTGTGTGCATTTGTGTGTCCCTATCTGGGAAAAGTACCTGCTCATAGAACACAAAGTTAATTAATTTTAATAGTAGTCTAAATCATTGTTTTCAAACTACTATTTACTTGTAGTGGAAATTGTTTTGTGTAAAAATTTTATTGTAATTACAAGTGTATGTGCAAATCGTGTTAACATAAAAATATCTTTCATATTTTGAATAGCGGTCAAACTTTGGAACACACTGGTCTAAAGTGCAAGACTTTTAGAGAAACTTCAGTTAGATTTTAAAAACCACCACTAGAGGGAGGGTTGGACCTGCACAGAGTATAGTCCTGGGGAAAGGAGAACTTGAGCTGAAGGTTTCCACAGAGGAACAGAGGGGATTCGAAAATAAATTTTAGGAAAATAAGGATATTTATTTTGCTCCTAAACCCTCTAAGATTAAATGTCTGCTATAGAACATCCCAAGAAACTGAAGAAACAAATCTGGCAAATGAAAATGCATAGTGTGTAAATAACAGAGGGGTCAGAACTCTGTAATTGATCTGTGGCTCCAGCTTTCTAGAGAGTCAGGAGTGTATGAAGCAGAAAGTGATTTGCAAGAATAAGTGAATCACCTAGAACTCGATGACTCCTTATACTTACAGAAACTGAATTATGTGAATACCTAGAGAAACTCGTGTCTTTGTGTCCCTCCTCTTGGCTACTCTGAGGGAAAACACTTCCTATGTACTGAGGGATGCTCGTTGGTGGGGTTCATGGTGAGAAGTAGTGCCACAGCTCTGTTATAAAGGCAAAGGTGGCAGATTTCTTCTACTCCTAGCTTTCTAGAGGCCAGGGCACTGGGAATGATTGCAGCATGATCATAGGATGCCCACCCAGGGAATGGCACAAAGAATGTGCAAATAAGGGCCCAAGGATTTTAATTTACATCAATCTTCATGATCAAATTGCTCTAACTACATAATTTTGCCTGGAATTTTTATTGCCACCTTTTCTGGTTCTTTCTTATTTTCTAACCTGGTTCCCCAGCCTCCCAATGAATCTCCAATATTGTGAAGGGCCTTTAGATTTGCTTGCCTAGTCCATAGCATTATCAAGATATATGTGAGATGCAATAAGCTACGAAATGTCAGGTAATTCTCTTCCCTTGCAGTTAGGATAAACTTA